TGGTGGAACCATATCTGCCACAGTTCTTGGTTCTTTGATTTTTTTGGGCTTCTGTTGTTGTCACTATCTCTTTCTATGTGTATTTATAGTCTGGCTGCTGCCTTTTTTGCTCATCCATTGTTTACCAATGTCTTTATTTATTTGCATGATTTCTTACATTTAGACCATTCTATTAGATTACAGCCTTGATAATCTTTTTCTATGAGCCCATTAATTCACTTGGCACTGAGCTCCCTCCTTAAACATTTGAGTCTGTAAATAAGATGACCTGCCAATGGAATGAGTATTATTACCCTTAATAATAGTTAATAATAATTAACTATTATGCACTTGAAACAAGAGCCTCCTGTTGTTTTCTATCATAATATCTATTTCCTTATTCCATTGTTAAAGTGTCTCACCTTTCTGCTTTATATAAAAAAAAAACTTATTTTGAGAAAATTTGGCTTAGATTTTTTTATTTTTTTTGCATGGAATCTCCTTAGCTGTTGTCCATCCTCACTCTGTGTATTTTCTCTTTGGTTTTTCTGTTTCTTTGCTGAAACCTCTGGCTGATATGTGCATCATGATTCATGGTTTTGCACGTGTGTCCCTAATTCTCTGCCTGGTTCTCTATATAATCAGATTTATTTTTTTATTTTTATTTTTTTATTTTTTTTCTACAGTAAAGAACTTCATTTTTTCACTTCCACATTTATTAAACCCTGCATTGGATCCTTCTTTCCCCAAACCATGACAATGTCCTTATTAAAAGCTGCTAAAAATGCTGTTAGTTAGTATCATGTTCCCTTTCTCTTCCCAATTAGGATTTTTTGTATGAGGTATTCTTTTGCTGTTTGTCTGAACTGATCTGATACATAATGAGGCTGCCTGATATTAAAACTAGAAGCTTCCTGAAAATACATTTTCACCTTATTGAAAAAAATGCCTTAATTTCAAAAATCCTTTTTATTTTGCTAAAAAAGAAACTCCTAATTTAAAGGAAGAGTTTGAGACACACCTTTAAAATTAAAAACGTTATAATCATTAACAGTTAATAAAGTTTTATTTAATCTACTGCAAAATATGTTTTCAGCTTGTAGAAAAGGAAAATGTCAAATAAAGTTAAATGATTTACTATATTTACTATATTACTATATTTAAATAATTTTAAATAACAGTAAACAGTAATACATTATTTAGATGTAAATTTTTTCTGAATCTGGTTATATTAATAGATTTCTAAGACCTTACTGTGTACAGTGATGTTGACTGCATTGCTGAAGTGTCCTGTTTCAGACTCACACCAGTACACTGCTCTACTGGACTCAAGACTTTTAATGGTGCAAAAAGAGCCAGTCATTGTCCCCCAACTGCAGCAGTCAGATAAATATAATGAAATTCCAGTTTTTTCAAACCTCCTAACTCTCCACTTAGCAGAATTTCCTTTACAATTCAACAGGACATTTTCTATGCTGAAAACCTTCAGTTTGTGAGGACTCAGGGTGAGAGATGCTGCTGAATGAGGATCTGAAATAAAAAAGGAGAGAGACACAAATCAAAGATAAAGACAATGAAAAGATCACTCATAGTTAGAGTAGAATAGAATAGAAGAGAATAGAATAGAAG